AGATCCGGGACGGGGGTGGGTCCCGTGGAGAAATAGTGGGCACCTCCCTCTTGGGTTGCCACTCCAACAGGTGAGCATGAGAACTAGCACTGGGGCAGGCATGACCAGACAGAGTGGCACCCGCTAGCATGTGTGTGGGCTGGATAGTGGGGCTGGTTGGGCTGAACTAGGCTTCAATGCCCATTGACATGTATGAGAGCTGAATAGGATGTGGGAGAGTCTACAGCAGACTGCTGTACATACTGGCAAGCATGGGAACCAGGGCAGGGGGCTGGTGTGGTGGGGATTATTGCAGGTTGCTCCGACTAGGCTGCACTTTCCACTAGCGTCCATGAGTGCAGAGTGTGTGGTGGGCAGGACTGGACTGGGCTCCAACAACCATTCGTTTGTGTAAAAGACAGGGCTGGAGACAGAACTGTGCATAAGCTGATTGGGGCGACAGACTGTGCCGGACCTTGTATTGGCACGCACACGCAAGAATCAAGTCTGGGATCACATCAGATGAAGTTTCTATGGGGAATCTCACCAACTGAACCATTGGACTCAGAACTCCAACCATGGAGAGAATTGCAGTTTTCATGGTCTGACCATGGAGTGCATGTGTCAGAGCTGGGCCTCCTCAGTGACTTACATGGAGCAGTGGACAGCATATCCAGGTGCACATGGAGGATATGGCAGTCCATTGGAGCATGCAGAGGACACCTGGTACCACGACAGAGGACAGAACAAATCGATCAAGTGCTGGCAGTGAATAACTGGGCAAACAGAGACTCTGGATTCTGGAGAGATTTCATTGTGCTTGGAGTGGCGAGATTGGCAGTAATTCAGAACTGTTCAACTATTGAAACCTCACGAGTAGGACCCCCAGAGCATGCCCCACATCGTGAATTCTGGGGTGGTGTTGGGTGGCTGTCCTCCATCCCAGGGTGCAGAGGCATTTGGGAGGCTGGGTGTGGCTTCTCTCCTTGTCTCCGCCCTTCCCCCTGATACAGGAAGCCAAAAAAGAAAACGTGGAAATGGTGATCTCACCCACCTTCCTGTAGCCCTAGTCCCTAATCACCCTAATGAACTATGTAAAAATCACCAAAAATAAAAATAATTAATAATGTAAGAAAAAAGAACTAACGCTCTGATAATGGATGCCAACATCACAAATAACACTTTAACCCGCAGTGCTACTTCACTAGTCCCTGCAGTTAGTTTTTAAGGGAAAAAAAAAATTTTATTTGAGGCCCGATGCGGTGACCTAGTGGCTGAAGTCCTCGCCTTGAACGCACCAGGATCCCATATGGGCACCAGTTTTAAATCCTGGTGGCCCTACTTCCCATTCAGCTTCCTGCTTGTGGCCTGGGTAAGCAGTCGAGGATGACCCAAAGCTTGGGGACCCTGCATCCGCGTGGGAGACCCGGAAGAGCTCCTGGCTTCGGACTGGCGCAGCTCTGGCCATTGTGCGCACTTGGGGAATGAATCAATGGACGAAAGATATTTCTCTCTGTCTCTCCTCCTCTCTCTATATATATGTTTGACTTTGTAGTAAAAAAAAAAAAAATAGCAAATCTTTAAAAAAAAAAAAGTATTTGAAAAGAAAGCAAGCAAGCTCCTCCACCTGCTGGCACAAACTCCTCAAATGTCCACAATGATTCCTGCTAAAGCTAAAGCTGGGAATCAAGCAGTCAACTCAGGGCTCCCACGGCGGTTTCAAGAGCTCAGTTTCTTGGGCCATCACTGCTGCCTCTAAGTCGCTGGAGTCAAGAGCTGGAAGTCATGAACCAGGCTCTCTGATGTCACATGTGGCCACTCCACCTGGTGGGCTGAGGGTCCTTTTGTCCCCAAGAGCTGCGTGTTCCCAGAAGTGCGGAATCACGTCTTAGAGCATTTGCAACCCTCAAAATTACCATCAGCTCCGGTTTGCAAAGAAGTTATCTCTGGCTCCAAGTGCTAAAATGCTTTACCTAAGGTCACAGAGTCAACATGCATCGTGTGGACAGAATTTGAACTAAAGTATGTTCAAACCTGTTCTCTTTCTTACAGCGTCTCCCATTGTATTCCTTGTGTTAGACTCAAAGTGTGGTGCAGAGCAGCAATGCTTAAAAAATATTTAAGTCCATATTCATTTTTTCCCCAAAACTTGGTACAACAGGATACTTCCTTATTGCAATATATGTATATGATATAAATTCATAAACCAGCATAATTAAATGAGATCGTATCCAGCAGTGTTATCACTAACGTCAGGAACAACAGAGCATGTTCACAATCAGTAGTCCTTGAGAAGGCAAAGACAGACACGCCTGTGGACAGCTGCAAGCCTCTGGGCCATCGCACACCTGTCAGGGCCTGCAGTCGTTCGATACTGTGCCGGTCACCACTGACCTCACGTGGCATGTTCTATTTACACTACAAGAGACTAATTTTCTGTGTATGCCATGACGTGAAAGTGACTGGGGAGCAATATACTAGCCACACAACTATAAAACAGAAACGGATTTGTGGCATAAAGATTGAAAAGGCCAACATTGGGTCCAGCATCTCCCATGGTGCTGGCTCAAGTCTCGGCTGCTCTACTTCCAAGGCAGCTCACTCCTACGAGCCCGGGAGAGCAGCAGAAGATGGCGCAGGTCCCTGCGTCCCTGCAGCCATGTGGCAGACCTGGATGAAGCCCTTACCAGCCCTGGCCATTGTGGCCATCTGGGGAGTGAATCAGTAGATGGAAGATTTCTGTGTCTCCCTCTCTTTCTGTCTTAAAAAGAAATACAATAAATGTTTGTAAAAAAGGCAAATGTTATCACTCTTGCTACTACAGTCACTGACAAAGCAAATAATTAATACATTATATATGCATGACGTGATAGTGTATAAAAGCTGATATTAAGTTTAACTTCATCTCAACAAAAATACTAAAAGAAGAGCCCACTGAGTCTGAAGCCTGGTGATGTAACTGAGGGTCTACACAGAGGGAGCTGGTGCAGCACTTCACAGAAATAACTCTGTGTGCTAATACAGCATGACTTCAAGAACTTGTAGGATGTTTCTCCAGACATTTGAGCTATTCAGAAAGTCACCATCCTAGGCTTCTAAGAGAGAGAAGAAGTGATAAACCTTCCATCCTCTGGTTCACTCCCCCAATGGTCTCAGCAGCCAGGTCTGGCCCAGGCTGAAGCCAGGAGCAGGAGCTTCATTCAGGTCTCCTGCCTGGGTACAGGGTCCCAAGGAATTGGGCCTTCCTCCGCTGCTTTCCCAGGCACATTAACAAGAAGCTGGATCTGAAGTGGAGTAGCCAGGGCTCAAACCGGTATAAGCACGTGGGCCGGCAAGAGGTAAACAGCAGGTTAAGCCAGTCCCCAGATTTAAATTTTTTAAAGCCCAAAATCAAACTACGTAAGTTCATGAATCCTGGATATATATAATTTTAGAGATTAGGTTTTTCAGACAATGACATAAAACCTAGATGCCATTACAAAAAGATGGACACATGTCCCGGCGCTGTAGCCTAGCAGCTAAATCCTCGCCTTGCACACGCCGGGATCCCCTGTGGGCACCGGTTCTAATCCTTGTGGGTCCCACTTCCCATCCAGCTCCCTGCTTGCGGCTTGGGAGAGCAGTCGAGGATGGCCCAAAGCCTTGCAACCCTGCACCCACATGGGGGACCTGGAAGAGGCTCTGGGCTCCTGGCTTCGGATTGGCACAGCTTTGGCTGTTGTGGCCCTTTAGGGAGTGAATTCGCGGATAGAAGATCTTCCTCTCTGTCTCTCCTCCTCTCTGTAATTTGACTTTGCAATAAAAATAAATAAATATTTTTTTTAAAAGACTGATATATCTGATTACATAAAAAAAGAAAATAAATGCTTAAAAAAACATACAAGAAAATGAACACCAACAATAAATTAGGAAAAAATGTCCACAATTCTACGAATTTCCTTTTCGCATTTTATCAATACACAAAAGCTTGTACATATTTTGGGCCCGGCGGCGTGGCCTAGCAGCTGAAGTCCTCGCCTTGAAGGCCCTGGGATCCCATATGGGTGCCAGATCTAATCCCGGCAGCTCCACTTCCCGCCCAGCTCCCTGCTTGTGGCCTGGGAAAGCAGTCGAGGACGGCCCAAAGCCTTGGGACTCTGCACCCATGTGGGAGACCTGGAAGAGGTTCCTGGCTCCTGGCTTCGGATCAGTATAGCACCGGCCATTGTGGTCACTTGGGGAGTGAGTCATCGGATGGAAGATCTTTCTGTCTCTCCTCTCTGTATATCTGACTTTGTAATGAAAATAAAATAAGTCTTAAAAAAAAAAGCTTGTACATATTTCATCATATTTCTCTAAAAGATCTCATGTTTTTGATGCTGTTAGAAACAGTATATTTGTAAGGCAGGGAGACAGAAGGAGATTTTCTATCAGTTGGTCAATGCCCACAACAGGCAGTGCTGGGCAAGGCTGCAGCCAGGAACCCAGAGTTCCACGCAGACCCCGCCCTCCCTGGGGCCCACCTGCCCAGGATGCGCATCAGGAGGAAGCCAGATCAGAAACAGAGCAGTGACCCACTCCGGCACTACCATCTTTACCCACTGCACCAAACACCTGTCCACATTTCCATGTTTAATTGCTCATGGCTGTCTAGAAATGCAACAAAGTTTTGCTTATTCATCTTGTATCCTGTGACTTTGCTTTTTAATAGAATCTTCCATATGAAGGATTAGTCTGGTAATCAACTTTGTCTGTTTCAAAAAAAAAAAAACTTTGCATGAGTGTATACTTCTATTTCCAATAAAAATTCAAATCTACACAAGTTTTATTTAGCATCGTCTAACATTTGAATCTCCCCTATTTCTCAAGGCCACAGGGGTGAAGAATACCCCATAATACTAACCGAGCAATCAGAAGATAATGAGACCAGCAAGTCATATCACATGCAAGTTTAAGAAATTTTCCCCATAAGTTCTCCATTCTCTAATACTTGGCTGTCTCTACACTGTTAAGGCATATATTCACTACCATTAAAAACTTACTTTCTCTTCCTTAAAATCTTCATTTAGTTTGGGGTCTTCAAGAAGACAATGTTTCTATCCGGGTTCAAGCTGTACCCCTGCCTGTAGTCACTTTGATTATCCGAAGCCCGCTCTTACTTTCATCAAGCTAGTCTTGTTACAGATGTTAGTCAAGATGTTGCATTTTCATGCAGAAATGTATGGCAATTCAAAAGTCATCTTCCCAGAATCCCAGGGCGGTGACTTCCTGAATAGCTGAGAAGTCTTGTGAAACATCCTGAAGTTCTAGAAATCACCGTGCATGAGCACACACAGTGGGCTGCTTCTGTGAAGTGCTGCACTGCGTCCCTCTAGGTAGACACTCAGTTACATCACCAGGCTTAGGCCATGTGCGGTGTCTTCAGTTTTTTGCGATTACAATTTGGCAATAGATGATCATGTGCATGTGTTACTTGGGGAAGTTTATTTTTGGTGTCGTTTCTCAATAGTGGTATTAACAAACCAAAACAAATCTATGTTTCTAATTTTTTTTCCAAAGTCTCTGACACAGGGGCTAGAACCCTTCTATACTCTAACCAGCAGTGTGAGATGTTGGCAGATTCATTGCTATAGCCTGGCTCACCCCCAGACCTGGCTCTCATGTAAATCAGCAGGTGCCGGGATCTAGCCCAGCCTCTCCCATACCCACTCTGGCTCTCTCTCTCATGAGCGCCAGTGGAAGATGGAGTCTAGACCAATTGGCCCAGGCTCTGGATCCAGACCACATGCATGTTGAGGGATGCTGCAGCCTTGTTCAGCCTGGTTTGCTCCTGGTCCAAGCTCTTGCACTCACCTAGCATGGGAGTTCCCATGGTCCCCTCCAAGACCTACCCAGCCCCAGATCTTGCATGTGTGGGCAGGTGCTTCTACGCAGCCTGACATAGTCCACCACCAGTCAATGATGGGTGCTGCAGCCTACCTGAACCTGGACTTCACCAGCCCTGGCTCTCATGCCAATCGGTGGGTGCAACAGCCTAGTCTAGTGCAGCCCCCACCCTGTCCTGGCTCCCACTCACATCCAGGCTCAGTTCTTACACATTCTGCAGCCTTACCTGGCTTGGCCCACCAAACCCTGCTCTTGTGCTCACCAACAGGAGCTGTGGCCTAGCAGAAGAGTTCCTTAAGTTCCCCTGCCAGTTCCCAGTCCTGGCTCTCACATGTGTTGGTGGGTACTAGGCACTGACTGGCATAGTCTGCCACTTGTTGCATCCTTTGCATGTGCTGACATGTGCTGCAGCCTGGCCCAGCACGGCCAGCTCCAGTGAGCGTGAGTGAGATGAGTTCTGTGAACATGCCCGGCTTGGCCCATCATCACCCCTAGCTCTCATGCAAACCTGTGGGTGCTGCAGTACACAAATCCCCTACAGAATCTGCTCCCACACCCAATTTTCTCACATTCCGGTTGGTGCCACAGCGCAGCCTCACATGGCTCAGCCCCTTCCTCGACACACTGGTGGGTACTATGGCCTAGCCCTGCTAGGCAGAACCCCCAAATATTCAGTTTGTAAAATTCATATTTGGTCCATAATGAAATGACCAAATCCAGGAGAAGGAGAAGGAAAAGTATCAAATGAGCCTGAAAAATGTGTGCTGCCAGAAAGCAACAAAGTCCTAAAAATTATGAGAATGTGTGACATTATGACACAGAAAACAAATTGACAGGACTCTCACTGGCCAAGTGTGGGATAATTTGAGCAGCAAAATAAATGCTGGATTATAATCCCCAAGTGTATATGGATGTACATGAATGATTCAATAAATAAAATTCTAAGAGTTGATGAACTGTTCCTTATAGTAGTAGCATTTTAATAAATGCAGATGTGATAGAATTTACAAAAAAAAAAATGAAGCAAAAATCCTGGAAAGATGCTTTACAAAGAATAACTATAAGTAACAAGGAGTGGATTATTTAGAGCGGTTCAAAGTGTTTCCACATACGATACTGTCTCAGATTAGCTTCCCTGAAATCAGATGCTGAGACGGTTCGGGGTCCATATATTCAGCAGGGAACCACACTGTGGAAGCAAGCGGAGGAAGCAGAACTGCACTGAGGGAGAAATCTAATTGCGATGCAGCCCTGCTTCGGTAACCAGCGAAGAGCTCAAGTGAGCAGAGCTGCCCAAGTCAGGCGCAGAACGTGGGCTGCCCCAGCAAGGGGTGACCTCGGTCGAGTCAAGCTCCAAGACTCGGCAGCTCTGCCGAAGTTGTCTGCCAACCACAGCCGCCACAATTGGGCAGCAAGCCTTTCCTGGGATGGGAAATCTGCCTAGAGCATCTCTGAGTTGAGCAGAACACGTATCCATTACAAAGGGAAACAGACCCTTTCCAGGACAGAGAAACCTGATGGCACAAGCAGCGACGGTGTTTCAGTGCTGTTCTTGCTGGAAGCATCTACTCCGAAGTGAATCACGAGGAGGCATGGGATACACCCGAATGGAGGGGCGTTCAGGCATTCAGATTCAAAATAAAAATACTATTTAAGAAAACGGCACGGTCATAAAACATACAGGCTGAGGAACCTTTTCAAGTTAAAGGACACAGAGACACGGCCGCTGCTACAGAAACACACGATCCTAGCCTGGGTTGTGGAGCTGAACACAGGACTGAAGGACAACAGAATCCTGCAGAAAGGCTTGCTCAGCGCTAATCCCCGCTTTCTGCATCGTCTCTTCCTGCGTGAGGAAACGTTCTTACTCCTAACAATAATGCTGAAGTATTTATGGGACGCCATATTCGCAGCTTACTCTAACATTTAAGGCAGAGAAGGAACAAAGTACAAAGGATTTATGGCAAAATAACAACTGAGGAGTCTAGGTGAATGATTTATGACCATTATTTATACTGTTTTTCACAAATCCGGAATTATTTTAAAATAAAAAGTTAAATATGAAACACACACACAATATCCCTTTGTAGTTCATCCAGGAACGCAGTGTGGGGTATGGAACTGATTTCATCACTTACCAAATATGTATGCAATTATCCTATCTTCTCTTTCATGATACGAGCTGCTATCTTTACTATATTTTAGTTCCTTTACTTACTATTTCTGAACCCTCTATTCTGTATCACAGGCCAACCTATGAATCTGCGCCACACACATCCATGCAGTTTTCTTGCTAACGCTGTTTTCAGAGCACCTGTAGGTTTGTGGCCAATGGAATGGAGCAGTGTTCCCACACAGCCCTGCCACAACGGTTTCAGCTCTCAGCAGAGGCCTGTGGCAGGCATGTCCTCCTCAGGCTGGGGTTTCTCCTTCTTTAAGTTTTCATTTATTTTGCTTTGAGAAGCAGGAAGAGAGAATGAGGGAGAAAGAGAGAGAGGGGAAGCAAGCTCTCATCTGCTGGTTCGTGTTCCAAACGCCCCTACCATGAACATGATCAGCTCTCACAAGTGGGTGGAGGGACCCAGCTGCTTGAACCCCCACCTGCCGCCTCCAGGAATACATGTTAGCAGGGAGTTGGGGTAGACCTAAGACATGGACCAGGTACTTCAGTGCGGGTTGCAGGCACCTAACAGCTGGATTAAACGTCTGCCCCTCAGGGTTGCAGGCACCTAACCGCCAGATTAAACGTCTGCCCCTCAGGAGTTTCTCAGTTCTTCATTCTTTTTAGTTTGCTTTTCCATACGACTTTTAGTATCACTTGTTTTGCACCAGAAAAAAGGAAAAAAAAAAAAAAGCTTTAGTGGGATAAGAATTCATTAATGCCTTCGGTTACGCAGAAGTGGTGTCTTTGCAACGCCAAGTTATTCCGTCCGTGAACATGACATATGACTCGCCTTTCCCCTTGTTCAGCTCTAATTCTGCGCCAGTCAGGAATGCTCTGTCCTGTGGGGTTGCCTTAATCTCACGTTTGTGCTTAAATTTTTTGCTTGATGTTAATGGATGTTTGATGTTATAGACTTCCAGTATATTTTCAGACTAAATTATCATGAATATGACAAAGTATTGGGTCTTGTCATCAAGATGGCACCAAAGGCAAAGAAACAAACTCCTCCCCCCGCAAAGCCACAAAGCTGAAGCCCAAGGGGAGGCTCTGAAGGCCGAGAAGGCGATGCTGGACCGTGTCCACAGCCACAGAAGATCCGCATGTCGCCCCCCCTCCCCCGCCACCTTCCCCAGGCCCAGCACACTCCGCCTGTGGTAGCAGTCCAAATACCCTGGGAACAGCACTGCCAGGAGGAAAAAGCTTGACCATGGTGCCATCATCATGACAGAAGACAACAACACACTCTTTTCACTGTGGATGTCAAGGCCTACAAGCCCCAGAACAACACTAGGACACTGATGCGGCCCAAGCCAACATCCTGATCAGGCCTGATGCAGAAAAGAAGGCATACCTGCGGCTGGCTCCTGCTATGATGCTCTGGATGACAGCAACAAACCTGGGGGCATCGAAACTGCTTCCAGCTTTCTAATTCCAAACATATATGTTTTTCACCATAAAAAAGAGCATTGGGTTTTATCTGCTAATTTTACGTAGTGCCATCTTACTCAGATCTCGTTCAGGTTTTCTGGAGCTACTCAGATGTCAGCGTACACCAGCACATTGTTCCCACATACACTAGCTCTCCCTGCCCCCTTCCCAACGTACTGCATTTCTGTCTAAATTCTCATGCTTGAGTGTGGCAGTTAATTCTGTCAATATGATGTCACACAGTAATGACCAATGTAAACATTCTTTATTCCAGGTTTCAGTAGAACTTTCTCAAATACTTTGTGTATAGCTTTGAAAATGTCCCTTTATTCGTATTTACATAGGTGTTGATGCGTATTTGACTTTTAAGTTTTTTGAACTTTATTTGAAAGGCAAGACACAGAGGCCGAGTGAAAGCAAGAGAGAATGAGAGACACAGAGAGAAAGAGGAAGGGGGGAGACAAAGAGAGGGTGAGAGAGGATGGGATAGAAGAAGAGAAAGAGAGAGGGGAAGACAGAGTAAGGAGAGGTGGGAGGGAGAGAGAGAAATAGAGAGAGGGAAAGAGAAGGAGAGAGAGGAAGGGCCTACACCCTTTCCCTCTGGCTCACTCCTCAAAGTCCTTTCAGTGTGACCCCTCGTCCTGCTCCCACCCCTGGAGCTTTGCTGCAAGTGCTCAACAATGACCTAAGCAAAAATGTCAAGCTGTCTCATTACAAGAACTCTGACAAAAGAAAAAAAAAATTAGAAAAATACTACTTAAAATCTACCAAATTCAGGTATGGCAGGACTTAATGGAATCTATGATATGCAAACGAGACATGTGAAAATTCACAGCAGAAATACCACTATGATGGGGTGAAGTTGGGTGACAGCTAGCACCTTACCACAGCGGTCAGGCTTGCTGGATGGGCGATGCGGACAGCACAGAAACAGGTCCAGGCACCCCACCCTTCCTCCTCCTCCTGAGCCAATGGCAGTCTAGTGGCAGCTACTGTTGCCAAGCTCGGACAACATGCTCCTCCTGGC